ATTCAGTCCATGTTGCGCCGTATCCAACCCATATGTTCTTCAATAGACATGCTGACGAACACGTCTTTCATCCCTAACCTATGAATCTCATTCAATGTATCAAAACGAACATTTTCCTCCAAGTCAGGAACTTCTTTGATCGCCTCCCATATATTATTCTTTCTTTTCTCAGCTTCTCTAAGGTTAGCTTCTCTTTGTTGTCTTTCTTCTCTTTGTTGTATCAAGCTAACAACTTGATTGCTTATAACAACCATTTCATTAAAAGCCGTCTCCATACGGCTACCATCAATGCTTGAATTACTAGAGCCTCCACGTTTTCCACCTTTAGCTCTTTTTTTAGGAGGTAGCTTTCCTAATGGACCCTCTTTGCTTTGTGGCATAGGTGAATCCCAAAACCCTGATGCTTGAGATCCATCCACATTTCCAGCATTTCCAAAAAGCCTTGTATATAATTCACATGGTGAATTATCTTCAGATCCAAAAGTTAATGCATCAGTATCATCTCCTAAGCCAATAACATTTTTTTCCGTCGCAAATCCAGTGTTGTATATCAGCTGCAAATCTTCGTAATCTTCAAATGTTTCATCACGCATATTTTTTCTAGTTGGATGTACCTATAAATATAACATATCATAAATTTTAAATAGTTTTGATCTATAAATTTATACTAAAATTTAAAAGAAAAAAAGTTACCTTTTCGTAGTCATCCCACACATGGTCGGAAGCTGTAAACTTTTTAGATATAGGATCCCACCCAAACCCAGAACTAAACTGTATCAGCTCTTGCATGCTATTATAGCGATTTTTCAAATTCCTATTTTTACTTCCATAGTGTTTATAAGTTTTTTTCACATCCAAGTGTGTTATTCAAAACAGGTAGAGTCTTCTTTTCTACTGTCATCTTGCTCATAGAACCACTTGCATCACGCCAACCTTGTTTGATGCCGTYTACGAGGAGTCTTATCAACAATTTGGTYTCTTGTGTATTCCAAAGTTCATTTTTCCCTTTCCCCTTTTCTTGTTGTTGTGAATCTTCCATTATACTTCTACTAAAATGACATCCCATTATACTTCTAATCAAATGACATATTTAAAAAACATATTAAAATACTTATAAAAATCTTACGAAAAAACAAAAAAAGT